TAGATAGATAGAGATGTAAATACAGATGTAGATGTAAATATCTTTTGCAAGTTGGACCTGCAATATTTGCTGATATCATTTTAGCTCTCTTTCATGAACACTCTTTCTCAAGTGGATATATAGTGTTATGTAGATATATATTTTATATAGTGATATCTGTGTGTGTACATTTATATGCATGAGAATCATTTATATATTTTCTATTGCTATCATTGCATTGCTTATTTCTCTTTTTGTTGTTCTTTGGTTATTCTCTTTCTTCTTCTAAATAGAATCTGAAGAGGTAATTTCTTTTTCACTTGGAAGTTCTAGTTCATTTAGTGATATAAAAATCCTAGTTTCTACATTGTGAAGAAACCAGGAACAGGTTGATTTATTTGATTCTGATGTCAGAAGAGTCAAGCAGAACTATGTTGTTTGTGAATAGATTCAATATATGAAAAGTTGAGGATTTAAGAACAAATGAATGCTGAGAATTTGGGAACTGCCTTATAAATCAGTCGAGACTTGCAGACTTCCAGGATCTCAAAACAAGATTTTGAACAATTCCTGGCACATGAGCAGTTGCCAACTCTTAGTTTGCATTGCCAAACTGACCAGTTTTACATGTTTAATTTTGTCATACTGTATGTTGAGATTTTCTAGAATAAGGATGGAGAAACAAGAACTTTGCTTCACAGAATGCTCTTTCTCCTATTTTAACAAAATCTGTAAATTTTGTAATAGAATAGAATAATTTAATTGGCCAAGTGTGATTGGACAGGCAAGGAGTTTGTCTTGGTATAAATAATCTCAGTATACATAAAGAAAAGATACATTTGTTAAGAATCAAGAATCATAACGTACAACACTTAATGATAGTCATAGGGTACAATCAACAAACAAATCATACTAGGAAACAGTCAATATAAATCATAAGGATACAAGCGACAAAGTCCTACAATCACAAGTGGGAGGAGATGGGTGATAAGGAGTGATGACAGTAATAGTAGTGCCAACTTTGTAATAGTTAAAAAGGGTTGAGGGAATTATTTGTTTAGCAGGGTGATGGCTTTCAGGAAAAAACTGTTCCTGTGTCTAGTTGTTCTGGTGTGCAGTGCTCTATAGCATCGTTTTGAGGGAAGGAGTTCAAACAGTTTATGTCTGGGATGTGAGGGGACTGTAAATATTTTCACAGCCCTCTTTTTGATTTGTGCAGTATACAGGTTCTCGACTGAAGGCAGGTTGGTAGTAATTGTTTTTTCTGCAGTCCTAATTATCCTCTGAAGTCTGTGTCTGTCCTGTTGGGTTGCAGAACCAAACCAGACAGTTATAGAGGTGCAGATGATAGACTCAATAATTCCTCTGTGGAACTGTATCAGCAGCTCCTTGGGCAGTTTGAGCTTTCTGAGTTGGTGCAGAAAGAACATTCTTTGTTGTGCTTTTTGATGATGTTTTTGATGTTAGGTGTCCATTTTAGGTCATGTGATATAGTAGAACCTAGAAATTTGAAGGTGTCTACTGTTGATACTGTGTTGTCTAGTATTGTAAGAGGTGGTAGTATAGGATGGTTTCTTCTAAAATTTACCACCATTTCTACGGTTTTGAATGTGTTCAGTTCCAAATTGTTCTGGTTATACCACGAGGCAAGCTGTATAACCTCCTGTCTGTATGCAGATTCATCATTGTCTCGAATGAGACCAATCACTGTTGTGTTATCAGCAAACTTCAGTATTTTAACAGATGGATCATTTGAAATGCAGTCATTGGTATATAAATTCACAGATTTCCTGGATAAATGTTTAAACTGAACAGCGAGGACAGAGAATTAATGGATTAAGAACATTTCTGTTCCCAGCAACCTAAAACTAATAAAGATACCAGTGCATGCAAAATAGATGTTTGTGCAGGTAAGATTATCAACCTTGCTGCCAACCAAAACCAAGCATTTAATAGTGAATGCCATACCATGTGCACTAATCAAACAGATGGCAAGAAAGTAGGGGCAGGCAGGCACAACACAGGTTATGTAGACAGTAAACACAGTATCAGACATAAAGATCTCAAGTGCCTATATATAAATGCACAAAGTCTGGGGAACAAACAGGGTGATCTCGAACTACGAATACATGAAGGTAAATATGATATAGTTGGAATAACAGAAACTTGGTGGGATGAAACCCATGACTGGAACATACTGGTAGAAGGATACAAACTATTCAAAAAAAAATAGACCCCATAAAAGAGGAGGTGGAGCTGCACTGTATGTAATGAACCACTATATTGCTACAGAAATGCATGAAACCAAAGATGAAAACCTCCTAGAATGCACATGGGTCAATATAAAAGAAAAAAAAGAATGGTATGGCCGTAGGTGTATATTATAGGCCACCCAATCAAGCAGAAAATATAGATGTCCTTTTTGCCAGCCAATTAACAAACATATGCAGGAAACACACAACAATAATAATGGGAGACTTCAATTAACCTGATATCATTTGGAAAACTAATTCTGCACCAAGTGAGAAATCAGATAAGTTCCTAACCAACCTAGCTGACAACTTTGTTGTCCAAAAGGTAGAGGGTGAAACTAGAGGGACAGCCATACTGGACTTAATTCTTACAAACAGAGAAGAAGTGACAGAGGGAGTTGAAACTGCAGGAACCTTCGGTGAGAGTGATCATGTCATACTAGAATTCAAGATAACACAAACACAAGCAACAGAACATAATGACACTAGAGTCTTGGATTTTAAAAGAGCTGATTTCAATAAACTCAGAGAGAACTTGGGAAAGATTCCATGGATGAAAATCCTAAAGGGGAAAACAACTCAAGAATCTTGGGAAATTCTAAAAAGTATGATCATAGAAGCCCAGACCAGCACAATACCACTGAGAAAGAAAAACAAGAAATCCCAAAAGAAACCAGCATGGCTGCATAAAGATCTCTCTGGCAAATTGAAAGAAAAAAAGCACAAGTACAAAAAATGGAAAGAAGGACATACAACTAAGGCAGAATATCAGCAGATAGCCAGAATCTGCAAAGACGAAGTCAGGATAGCAAAGGCTTAGAACCAACAAAGACTTGCAACAAAAGTCAAAGATAATTAAAAAAAAGTTTCTTTAGACATATAAATAACAAGAAAAAATAATAAAGGAAACAGTCGGTCCACTAAAGAGAGAAGATGGCAAGGAAGTAACAGACAACAGAGAGAAAGCAGAACTGCTTAACTCATTCTTTGCATCCATCTTCACGCAAAAAGAAACTATAGCTCAACTCACTAAAAACATAATTGTAAAAGACAGACCAGAAATAAAAGTTAAAATAAGCAAAAACAATAGTAAGAGAACACCTGTCTGATCTTGATGAAAACAAATCACTGGGGCCTGATGGATTACATCCCAGAGTTTTAAAGGAGCTGGCAGAGGTCATCTCAGAACCACTGTACCATATCTTTCAAAAATCCTGGAGCACCGGGAAACTACCCGAGGACTGGAAAAAGAGCTGATGTGGTTCCCATCTTCCAAAAAGGATAAAAACCAGACCCAGGAAACTATAGACCAATCAGCCTAACATCAATACCCAGGAAGATACTGGAAAAGATAATAAAAAAACAGATCTGCCAACATCTAGAAACAAGTAAAGTAATAACTAGCAGTCAGCACAGGTTTGTTAAAAACAGATCATGCCAAACCAATCTTATTTCATTCTTCAACACAGTGACTAAATTAGTAGACCAGCAAAATACTGTGGACATAATATATTTAGATTTCAGCAAGGCATTCGACAAACTAGACCAAAACCTACTTTTAGTAAGCTAGAAAAGGTGGAACAGATAGCACCACCACTAGATGGACTCAAAACTGGCTGGCAAACCGTACTCCATGAGTAGTCCTTAATGGGTCTAAATCTACATGGAGGGAAGTAAGCAGTGGGGTGCCACAAGGTTCTGTCTTAGGCCCAGTACTCTTCAATATCTTCATTAACAACTTAGATGAGGGAATAGAAGGGGAACTTACCAAATTTGCAGATGATACTAAGCTGTCAGGAATAGCTAATACCCAAGAAGATAGGCTCAAGATCCAAATGGATCTTGACAGACTAGAACACTGGGCCATATCTAACAAAATGAAATTCAATGTAGAGAAAAGTAAAATCCTACACTTAGACAAGAAAAACCAAAAGTACACATATAGACTGGGTGAAACCAGGCTCAATAGCAGTAACTGAGAGGGATCTTGGGGTCTTAGTGGACAACTACCTAAATATGAGCCAGAAGTGTGCAGCAGCTGCCAAAAAAGCTAATGCAATCCTAAATTGTATTAACAGAGGGATACAATCAAGATCAAGGGAAGTACTAATATCACTCTATAAAGCCTTAGTAAGACCACACCTAGCGTACTGCATCCAGTTTTGTTCATCACATTATAAAAAAAGATGTTGAGACTCTAGAAAAAGTACAGAGAAGAGCAACCGGGATGATTAGGGGACTGGAGGCTAAAACATACAACGAACGGTTGCAGGAACTGGGCTTGGCTAGTCTAGTAAAGAAAAGGACCAGGGGAGACATGATAGAGGTCTTCCAATATTTGAGGTGCTGCCACAGGGAGGAAGGGTCAAGCTATTTTCTAAAGCGCCTGTAGGCCAGACAAGGAATAATGGATGGAAACTGAACAAGGAGAGATTTAACCTGGAAATAAGGAGAAACTTTCTGACAGTGAGAACAATCAACCAACGGAACAGTTTGCCCTTGGAAGTTATGGGAGCACCATCACTTGAGACTTTCAAGAAAAGATTGGACTGCCATTTGTCAGAAATGGTGTAGGGTCTCCTGCTTGGTCAGGGGTTTGGACTAGATGACCTACAAGGTCCCTTCCAACTCTGATTATCTGTTAAATCTGTTATATAGGGAGAAGAGAAGTGGAGATAGCACACAGCCTTGGGGGGGGGCTGTGCTGATTGAACAGGTATCAGGTGTGATTTTGCCTCACTTCACCAGCTGCTTCCTGTCTGTTAGGAAGCTTATGATCCACTCACAAGTGTGTTCAGGTACTGCTAGTTTGTTTAATTTACTTAGAAGAGTGTCTGGAATGAAGGTATTAAATGCTGAACTGAAGTCTACAAAGAGGACCCTTGCGTAGGTATTTGGAGATTCAAGTTGTTATAGGATGTAATGCAGAGCCACGTTAACAGCATCATCTGTCGATCTATTTGCTGGGTATGCAAACTGCATGGGATCTAACAGCGGATCCGTGATGGTTTTCAGGTGGGATTCAGATTTCCATAACTACAGATGTTAGACCAACTGGTCTGTAGTCATTCAGTTCCTTGATGGGCGGCTTCTTTGACACTGGGATGATGGTAGAACATTTGAAGCAGGAGGGAACATAGCACATCCCTAGTGATCTATTGAAGATTCGGGTGAAGATGGGGGCCAATTGGTCAGCACAGACTTTTAAGCAAGAAGGAGTTATCTTGTCTGGCCCTGGTGCTTTCCCTGGCTTTTGTCTGTGAAATAGATCTTGCACTTCTGTTTCTGTGATCACCAGAAGTTGTGAGCCCAATGGATTGGGGCCAGCTATAGCAGGCTTGGCTGTTGGTGTGTTTGAGATATGGGTTGTAGAGATAGGTGGCTATAGTTTCTTTTCAAACCTGCAATAAAACACATTCAGGTCATCTGCTAGTTGTTGATTTCCTTCTGCCTGGGAAGGAGGTTTGCTGAAGCCAGTGATGTTTTTAAGAGTTTTCCACATGTTTGCTGGTCCATTTTTTGAGAACTGATTCTTTAACTTTTCAGAGTAGCTTCTTTTTGCTGCTCTGATCTCTCTTGTTAATATGTTTCTGGCCTGGTTAAACGCCTTTTATGTAGGCTTCTTCTTTGGAAGGACGTAGCTGCTTAAGTTTAGCTGTGAACCAAGGTTTATTGTTACTATATATTTGCAGGTTCCTTGTTGGTACACATAAGTCTTCGCAGAAGCTAACATATGATGTTACAGTATCTGTGAGCTTATCTAGGTCTGCAGAGGCATCTTCAAAAACATTCCAATCAGTGCAATCAAGGCAGGCCTGGAGTTTCAGCTTTGCCTCATTTGACCAAGTCTTCCTGATTTAATTGTTGGTTTAATGGTTTTAAGTCTTTGTCTGTAGACAGGCACAAGGTGAATCATGCAGTGGTCAGAGTGTCCCACAGCTGCTCATGGTAAAGACCTATAAGCATCTTTTACTGTTGTGTAGCAGTGGTCTAAAGTATTTTTGCCTCTGGTGGGACAATTTACATGTTGGAAATATTTTGGGAGCTCTTTCTTTAAATTTGCTTGATTGAAATCTCCTAAAATGATAGAAGGGAACCTGGCTGTTTGGCTTCAGCCTCCATAATTTGATCAGCAAGAGTTCGTAATGCCTTGTTTACACAGGCTTGTGGAAGAACATAAACAGCTATTAGGAGAAATGAGGAGAACTCACGTGGAGAGTAAAATGGCTTGCAGTTGATGTGTAAAGACTTTAATTTTTCATCACAAAACTTATATATTATAGTTATATCTTGAGACCAGCTGTTGTTGATATCGACAAAATCAGAGCTGAAAAAGTCATCTGTATGTATGTATATGTACATGTACATGGATGTACGCATATGTACATGTGTGTATGTATGTGTATATGTATATGTATGCATGTATGCATGTATGTGTATATGTATATGTATGTATGTGTATATGTATATCAATGTATGTATGTGTATATGTATATGTATGTGTATATGTACATGTATATGTATGTATGTATGTATGTTCATATGTATATGTATGTATGTGTATATGTATTTATGTATGTGTATATGTACATGTGTGTATGTTTTCATATCATCAGAGGTTAATTGGAGAACCTCCTGAAGTCTTCCAGAAGGTCAGGAAAATAAGCCGTGACCCCAGCACCTCAAAAATTGTCCAACTCTTACATAAAGTATATTCTTACTGGCTCATCTTTTATGAACTCTGTTTTTACAATGATAAGCATCATACAATAAACAGAATATAGTATTGTCAAGAAATGTTGATTCAATCAAAATGCCAACTCTTTTTACCCATCTCCAGGTTCAGGATCTAGTGGTACTTCGGATAAAAATACTGCCTACTGTATATTCCTTTGAAGTAGATCATACCAATTTTAGGGTTTTGTTATTTATTGTTATTTTATAACTTGCTCTGGTCCTGAATTCTTGCAGTTGAAACATGGCAATTTCTTCCTTTTTTACATCAGCATAAGTTCCTTCTTTTTATCACAACCATATTGTTATTGTTTTCTCCAAAGGACCTAGTTAGTGATTTCAATATCTCCAGGTTCTTCCTTTTCAGTTTTGAACTTCTGAGTATGGAGGATGAGGGGAGGGAAAGGGCTGAAGATCTGTGTTATGTGTCAGGATGGCTAATAGTTCATAGCTTACAGAAATGGTCAAAGCTCCAGGGTGGAACACAAGAGATTTTTCCAACCCAGAAATCATGTTGAGCCACTGTAATAGTATGTGAGAAAGACCTTTAAAGACTGGACAAAGAAACATTGCCAAGGGAACAGTGACAGTGGGTGGGGCAAGAAGAGACCCTTCCTAATTTCTCATGCTATAAAAGAGACAGGAAGGTGGGAGAATGTACTTTCAGACTTCAACTCTCCCAAATAACTCACGTGGTCATTTAGAAAAATATCATCATGTTAACATTCTTTAAGTTGCATCAGCAAGGGATTCTAGCCTTCAGATTTGCAACCAGAAATAAATATATGATTTAACTTTCCATAAAATATTTTTTTCTTCCAAGAGATAGGAGTGAAAGGGGAAGGGGGTTGTATGAATTTGTTTTAAAGCCACAGTTTACAGATTTCTTATTTTCTTATTGTACGGAAGTGTTTGCTCTGGTTGATAGATTATAGAATTAAATTGTTCTCCTTGAAATCTTAAAAATGCAGAACTGTTAAACTGGAAGCCATGATTTTGTTGCTTACCTTCTGTGTGTCTGTTTTGACATTTTGAAGTACTGTGGTTTAAGCCATCATCTCTGCTAATCATGTGTCATGCTGTACTTAGAGGACTTAACAATTTAACAACAATTTCCAGCAAGATACACAAGAAGCAATTTTAATGGGTAGCCTAGGCATGTGAGTATTTTTCTCTGTATTTTCACCTTTCGGTGGATCTGTTCTAGGAATATTAAAATAATGAGCTCAAAATAAATGTATTAAATCACTTTGTATAGTGGGGAGCTGATTATTTTTCCTTATTGTTTCATTATTGCAACATTTACCCTTTCTTGCTTTATTAATCTTTTGCTTTATCCAAAAGAGTGAAGGAGAAATGGTTATTGAAGCCATTGGTGGTATTCTACCGGTTCAGCCCAGTATGGGCGAACCGGTAGTAAAAAATGTTACCATTCGGCCAAACCAGTAATAAAAAAACAGCTACCAGTTCAGCTAAACAGGAAACAGGTAATAAAAAAACAGCTACTGGTTCAGCTGAATGGGTATTCCTTTCTTTTTTCCCTCCCAACAATCAGCTGTTCCAATGATCAGCTGTGCTGCTGTCCCCCTTGCTATCTTACTTTTTGCCCAAGAGGCTTCCCTGAGGCCCAGGAGGCAAAAAAACCCCAGAGTATGGGGGGGAGTGCTGCAAAAAAAGAAGCCATGCCCAACCAGTCACATGGCCATGTCCACCTAACCACACCCACCTAGTCACACCCACAGAACTGGTAGTAAAAGTCACAATAATTTTGACAAGACAAAATGTTACTTTGGAACAATAACATATTATCTTACCTTTCTTGCCACTGGTGCAGTATCTTTTTATAGGCTCCAATTTAATTATCATTTAGATTTGCAAATTCTAGTGTTTTTGACAGTAGAGAATTATCACAGTACAACAAATTAATATGGATAATGGGAAATTAAGCTGATATTTTCAATGTATGGTATAAAGTTTTAGATTCTAAATTTTAATCTTAAAACCTGGAAGTTGTGTTGTATTTTATCTCTGAATAATGTTATGAAATTTGGCAAACAAAATTTCTATTACAGCATCATTCATTTAATTAATTACTTTAATTTTGTAGTGATTCCAAATATTACCAGCTACTCTGCACTGTATATATCAAATGAAAACAATGGAATTGGTAGAGCGCAGCCAAGTTGTTCATATTTTTATGTTAAGAGAGAGCCTTGAAGGTCAGGATTATTTTAGTGCAGGGGTGTCAAACTCACATTGTCACGATGTTGTCATGTGATACATTGGGACTTTTTCCCCCTTCACTAAACTGGGCAGGGGTGTGGTCAGCACATGACGCATCCAGCCCACAGGCCATGAGATTGACACCCGTGTTTTAGTTGCTGAATTCATTACTGTTATGCCCCTGTTAGAATTTAATTCTGAGGAAGAGGTGGAACAGCTGATGGGGAGTGGTAGTGTGGCTCCTGTGGCTGTGGAGGAAACTGGGAAAAGGCACAGTCCAGCTGGGCACTCAGAGGAAGACCCAGGCCTGCCCCCTCTTCATCCTAGGGCATGCAGGGAAGAACAGATAAGGGAGCAACGTGGGTTACAGTGGAGAAAAAGGCCCTGATTCCCTTCATTAGCTGCAGCTGGGAAAACAGGATAAAGAGGGTGTTTGCGCACAGCTCCTTGCTAGAAGCAAAGCGTGAATTATTTTGGTTTGTTGGGTCTTATCTGAGTTCTGCCATTCTTCCAACTGTGTGTTTCATTGTCTTTTGAAGTCTTCAACTCCTTATATTGCCCTGTCTCGTTAATTGCCGCAGCGTTGGTTTTTATTTATAATTTATATGTATTTTGGGTTCAGATGGAATTTCTTCCCTTTAGAAACTGTTCTTTGGGGAGTTTTTTCTCCAGTTCCCTATTATACCAGCCTATTGTTCAAGGGTGGCATGCATTTATTGTTCTTGATATTTCTCAACCCACTTGCATGCAGTTGTGGTACTTCTTTTTCTTAGTAATGTTAACTAAGGACCAAGCTAAGAGGATAAACTTCCCTATATAAATAGCCTGGCCCTTAAAATTTTAATTCATAGATAATTGCCACATTTCTCCTACACTCAACAGTACTTTGGTAGATAGACCAATAGTTAAGCTGACTTCATGTGCCACTGTATTCCTTAAATGTATCCCTATTAATCATCTGACAATTCTGTAGTTAGTTGTGGCATCCATTTGATATCCACTGTGTTTACAAAAAAGGAGTAAATGGGTTCATAATGTTTAACATCTAGTCATTTCCTAGTTCTCTCAACTCAATATGTATTTCCCCAGACAAAGCAAACATGAAAGCACCTAGAACTGTGATGGTTTCATAGCACTAATTGTAAGCCTTGTGGGTCATCCACACAAAATAAATAGGACAGAATGTGACCTCTCACATGGCAGGACACATTACTTTAAACTAAATTTTCCAGATTTCTCAAAAAGAAGATGACAAATGTATAGCAAGCAAGCACTAACATGAAGGATGAGATGTCATGATCTGGAGTCATTTCATAAGGAAAAAAGAAATGTAGCACTAAACTCAGTTTAGATAGTAGTTGTGGGATTTTTTTTTTTAGTATTTTATATTAACACATAAAATACAGCTATAGGCAATGGTGAAAAGTGTCAGAACGTTAACTCATCAATAGGCTTCTGTCTCTCATTACATTCCAGGCAAGGTATTCCTTAGAACTCATGACTATCTCCTGAAGTGGCATTAAGAGGTTTTCACCAAGCCTTAATTGCACTTCACTTGTTTGTAGGATGGGCACCTGAACTTAATTTTTCTCAATTCATTCTCCAGCATGATTCTTGGTTTTAAATCAGGCAGATCTGAAAGTAATGAAAGTTGGCAGTGCTATCTATATATACCGTATGCATGATTCTAAGCTGAATGCTAAAGATTTTACAGTCTTGAATACAACATTTGAAATTCTTTTACACAGATCAAAAAAAATCATTTTGGAGTTACTATAAATATTTTTTTTTAATTAGACAATACTTCCAGAAATGACAGTAATTATTTACTTCTATAAGTTATCAGAAGATGAACTGAAACTACTCATTGAAGCATGACAAAAAATGATATTTTAATAGTTTGTTTCTATTTTTCAAAATGGAAAACCTTTGTTACAAAGATTGCAATAAGAAACCATCCCTGTGGGGAAGTAAAGGCAAGAAATAGTTCATACTATGGGAAACAGCAATTAAGGTGCGATTTCTCATAGTAGGAACTAATAAAAAAGAAACAAGATGTTTCAGCAGCCAATTACATGACTGGAGCATTTAGATTAGGATATTTATTTTGTGATAATTAATTTATAACTAGAAATTGAAGTAATTGTATTTTCTTTTTTCTTTGAGGTTTGTGATGTTGCCCATATATACTGTAGCATGAAAAAAGCTGCCCAAAGTAAAGTTGATGCAGGATAGAGAAGATTATTTGGGATACGCATTATCCTCTGATGAAAAGTCATATCCTCAAAAAATATTCATGACCATTCTGGATGGCACCGGTATCTCATAACAGTTTTTGAAAAAGTGTTCTCATTGTCCCATTAACTACTTCTGAAAGTTTCTATTAATTTCATCATCCACATGCTATCACTGCTATTTGTAGTTCAGTGCCATTCTTAGTTATTATGCACACAAGTTGCCTGTTGACAGAGGCTGCCTAAATCCCAGCAAAAGAGAAATTGTATATTAGAACTAAATGCATATGAATGGTTGCAGGAATTGGGTATGTCTAGTCTAATGAAAAGAAGGACTAGGGGTGACATATAGCAGTGTTCCAATATTTGAGGAACTAAACCCAAGAAGAGGGGTTTTCCAAAGCATCAGAAGACAAGACAAGAAGCGATGGATGGAAACTAATCAAGGAGAGAAGCAACTAAGGAGAAATTTCCTGACAATGAGGACAATAAACCACTGGAATGACTTGCCTTCAAAAGTGGTGGGAGCCCCATCACTAGAGGCTTTCAAAAAGAGACCTGATGGTCATTTGTCTGAAATGGTATCCAATCTTCTGTTCGAGCAGGGCAGTTGGACTAGAAGAATTCCAAGGACCCCTTCCAACTTTGTTGTACTGTTATTCTATAATTTATGTAAATTACTGATGATTGTACAATACCTGCAGATTTTCCAGATGTTTAAAGTATTGATGGAACTGGAATAGAATCCTATTGTCCAATCCTAAACTATTGACCAGGAAAACAAAGTGTATTCAAGTTCTAAAGCCTTTTTAGCAAGATATCTGTGTTGGTTTTCTTTAGAATGGTGTCCTTTATCTGATCTATTTCATTAGCCCAGGGGTCTTCAAACTTGACAGCTTTAAGACTTGTGGACTTCAAATCCCCAAATTCCTTCTCCAGTCATGTTAGTTCAGGAATTCTGAGAGTTGAAGTCCACAAGTCTTAAACCTGCCAAGTTTGAAGACCCTTGCATTAGCCTGGTGTAAGAATAAATAAAATACAAATTAGGCAAGAAAGGATTAGTTAGAAACAACAGAAATCCTTTACAGACCTTATAAATAAAATTTTGTGGGAGGGGAGGGGATACTTGAAGCATTCAGTGTGCGTATGAATATTCATGAAAGTAAGAATTTAATGTTAGCAAAGATTTGTGTGGTAGCTACTGAGATCCTACAGATGGTGCTAGATGCTAAGCAGCAACTGCCATCTAGAAACCCTATGTGGGCCTTGGCTATTGCATAATCTCATTTCCTATATTTGGGTAAAGGTGGAAAGTCCCTAACTTTCCAGACATATAGGTGATCTCATTTTACTAACATCACCACTAGTCTTAAGGATTGGTTGGGAGGTTGTACCAATGTGGTTGAGCAGTTTCACCCATGTGGGATCTATTCTCCAATCCAGATGCTGTATCTATGTTGCCTTTGTCTTCTTGTAAAACTCTATAAATGTAATAAACACTGCCCATGCAGTCAGACATCTTGGCACCCTGCACAATGACTGGTCTTTGATCACCATATATGGTGCCCAACCAGGGACATTAACCCTGCGGGGCGGGGCCACAACCTTCCGGAGTGGGCAACAGCCAACATGCTTACCATTGTCTGGAACAGACCCTAAGGTGCGCACCTTCGTCGTATGGGATCCCGGGTCCTTCTGGACCTATCAATGGTAAGTATGGGTTGCAAATCTATCTCAGCATCATCAGGAACATGTTCAGGAAATTAGATTCCTGCTACATGAATCAGGTGCAAAAGTACACTGAGGCTAGACAAAAAAGAAGTAGGTGGGGGATAGGGAAATGGTATCCTGAGTGCAATAGAATAGAATAGAATAGAATAGAATAGAAAGATCAGGATACCCAAGTCTCCAGTACAAATATTACATCGATGGTATCAATGCTGTCATGCAGTGGAAACATCTGCCTCTGATGTTTTAATAAAACAATAATTGGGCTCTGATGCCTCAGCAAAATAATAATTGACTATAAGCCCCCCTCCATATTATGATCAGGTAAAAATTGTCACTCCAAAATCTTCTCTAATTGGACTTTCAGCTCCTTCTGAGCAGGCTAATTTTTTTGATTCTCCAAGGCCATTGTACATCCCCATAAGGCAAATATTAAAGGAACAATTAGAAAAAGGGGGAAATTTAAGCTAGAGACCCAGGACAGAGACACGTAAATGTATTTGTTTAAAATTTTTATGTTTAATCCTTTTTAATTATTTAATGCTTAAAAAAATAAGAACAATGGATGTAACTAGAATGCAGGCAGTTGCTCTCTTCTGATGCACTGAGTGGCAGAATTGAATGTAGAAGGCATGCCTCATTGAGTTCAATGGTCTACAGTTAGCTCTGCTGTTCTGAAGCATGGAACGAGACACAGATCTGTGTTTAAAATAGAGCCCCTCCATAAAGTACATTGGGGTTGATCAAAGAAAATATGGTTAAGTTATGATGCTATATATGTGTTAGGAAGAACTAAGAAGAAAATGTTTACTATTCTTTTCATGATGTGATTTCCATTAAAACTTCTTAGATGTGTATGTATAATAATGTATAATAATTGCATGCAGAATAGAGCTTAGCTGTGTATGGTTAATAATGTAAAATACGTGTATGCAGAATTGAATTGAAGAAAAATATCCTTTACCTGTGTATAGCCCCAATAGGAACAGCTGCAGCTCAAAATAAATTAATTCTAACATGTTTGGCAGCCAGAGAATTAAATTGGCTTTTCGGATTGACTTAGAGCTATGGGAGGCAGCTAGGCAGTGGTTTGGGCCTACAATCTCCTTTGTGATTGGAACCACTCCTTGAGTTATCCCAATGCTCTGAGAACAAACTATAGGTTGTCCCCAAAAATGTGGAAATTTAAAGGGACAAAACCTCCCCAGGTCTGGAAATGTTGTGTGTGAGGATGTATCTGTATGTAATTATTTCCAACCCTGGAGGGTGAGATCCTCTACAATGGAACTTATTGACTCCCAGAAAAGAATTTCTAAGTATGCAAGCAGTATGATTACAGTGTAAATTTGTGAGTATGTTGATGGTAAACAAACTGGTATAAATGTTTTGTGTATTGACCCCCATCCTAGATTGAAAGGAGAGTAAGAAATGAGAATGGTCCAGACATGAAAAAGATCCCATGGAGAAATGTATGTGATTTACTGGAAAGAGAAGATTATTTGTGTGTATATTTGTGTGTGCTTTACTGATAATGAAAGTTATTTGTGTGTGATTTTCCCCCCTTCTTGTCCTTGCTGGTTGTTGTAAAGGCGGAGGCAGCAGGTGGGGGAGAGTGTAGCTTTTGATCACTTTAACAATTTTTTTCTCTGCTTTGAGTTTTTGCCTCAACAAAGATGAGGCTAGAAAATAACTTTTTTATAGGTTACATAGCTTCATCTCCTGATTTTTTTAGCAATTTTCACACAAGGAGCCTCAGAAAAATAAGCTGAGATTGCCAAATTGCCTGGAACTTTATCTGTAAAGGTGGCTCAGTTCCCAGGTTAGCAGTTGGCCTGGAACCATTATCTTTGAAGATGGTTCAATTCCCAGTTTCAGCAAGGGGAATCAAAATTTAAAATTAGCTGCACTCTGTACATGCTCTTAATCCATATTTTGATTAAAGCAGAGAATTGACACTAAAATTTGACTCCATCTGGAGGGTTTACAAGAATGTGAAGAAAGCATGGCTATTGCCAGCACAACAGGTAAAATCATGAAAGGTTTACAATGGGCTTTTCAAATAACCTTTTCTTTGTAATTTTTGATAAAGTGCAGTAAGGTATAAATAGTGGAGTTGTGTAAATCTGATTTTCAATTTTATTTTTAGAAAAACTTATCTCTTCAATGTCCTTTACCTATGTAAGCTGTATTGTTTGCCTAAAGAACTTTGGCTTGCTTGCTTAATGACTTCTTCCTTTCCTGTCCTTACAAGGATTCTCATGATGATACCCCAGCTTGTTGTGTCCACCCAGCCAAGGATGTCTACACCAATCCCCGGATCCGGTCCCAGTCCTAGGAATTTGACTTTATAGATTGCACAGTGTCCAATCCCGGCTCATTTGCTTATGTTTGATTGTTTAAAGCCGTCCTTTGGCATCAGTGGCTGTCATTTCACACAAACACTTACTTGAATGAATGAAGTAAAACTCATGGGTGCAATTGGCTAACATCACACATGATGTGTTTTTGCTTATCTGAAACCTATGATATGGAACATTTGCTTTCTACATGTTTCTACAGTTCCTGTCTGCACTCCTTGTGCAGTAATTCAAAATTTTAGGATTTGCTACCTTTTATGCAATTGCTTTACACACCTCAATGGTAGCAGTCCCTGTAAATATAACTTGTGAAAAAGTAGTTAATTGTAGATTTTCAAATAAAAAACCTCACTGTCATCGCATTTGCTCACCTACTTTGAACTGCACAGCTTTTGAAGAGACTTTCTTTCACTTTGCCCATGTTTGGCTACCTCAAGGATGGTTTTTACATGTGGTCAAGAAACTTTTAATTATATTTCTGCTAATATTAGTGAAGCACAATGCTGCCTCAGCTGGCTGATTCCTGTTTTGCTTTCTAAACAACAAATTCATCACTTGAATTGTTCTCAACATGGGGTCACACTAGATAGTATCTGTGACTCTGAAACAACCTTACTTGATAAAACAGAATACGTAGTGCTAGCTTTGTCTATAGAGAGTGTGCCAGCAATTGTTGCTCGGGTTCACCTTAACATTAACTCTGTTGTATGTAATTTAGCAAAAACAATTAATGTTACTTCTTCAGCTATCTCAACAATCAACCACAAGATGCAAGCATTGAGGAAGGTTATTCTACAAAATCTATGTTGTTTTAATTTGTTTGATGGGTCACGAACCATCCAGCACCAGCTTAAAATTTTCAACAATTTGGCCTCAGATTTGAAAATTGATAAATTAGGATCTTGGTGGGAAAGCTTTTGGGCTTGATTGCCCACAGGATTAATGAGAAAAAATTTACGTCATTATTTGTGCTTTAATTAGTGGGTGCTGCTTTGTTCAATGTCTCCCTTCTCTTTGCAACATATGTATCACAGCTTTCCACCCTAAATCCTCTCCTACATTGCCTAAGGGTCATGTATATGACCTATATAAACAACTGCAAGTATACTCTTCTAATGATTATTATGAATCCTCTTCTAACTCCTTCTAACTCCTTTTATGATTGTTCTTTCTCTAACAAAATAAAAAAGAGTGAAATGTGGTACCTACCGAGATCCTTCAGATGGTAATAGATGCTAAGCAGCAAACTGCCATCTAGAAACCCTATGTGGGCCTCCTGGCTATTGGCATGATCTCATTTCCTATATTTGGGTAAAGGTGGAAAGTCCCTAACTTTCCAGACATATAGGTGATCTCATTTACTAACATCACCACTAGTCTTAAGGATTGGTTGGGAGGTTGTACCAATGTGGTTGAGCAGTTTCACGCATGTGGGATCTATTCTCCAATCCAGATGCTGTATCTATGTTGCCTTTGTCTTCTTGTAAAAACCCTATAAATGTAATAAACATTGCCCATGCAGTCAGACATCTTGGCACCCTGCATAATGACTGGTCTTTGATCACCACAGATTTGTGAAGGCAGTTTTTTTAACTACTAAGAGAAAGCAGATTTATTTAACTTTGTATTGACACCACTCCACATTGCCAATTTGTGGTCAATAAAACATGAGGTGCTAAAGAGTCAATGCTACTGAATTTTAAAAATTGAATATACTACATTTGTGTTGTATGATATACTTTAGACAAATACTTGTTTGAGATGTTAATTATTGATTATAAATCATTTGAAAAACATAATAGGAGGTGATGTGCAACTATATTCAATCATTCATTGAAAAGAAAGTAAATAAGCGTGACTGGGAAAATATTAATTTTGTCATGACCTGTATGAGTAATTTTGCAGAATACCACAAAAATAGGGAAGAAAATTATGCAAATTATGCTCATCAAAACATGTGATTTCATATTTTATATATCAGCAGACTAAACTAAATATATTTAAGCAAATTAGAAGAATGTTTTGGATAAGATTAAATGATAAAAATACATTGAATGCTAATTCCAAAATAGACTTTTTTTCCTTCAGTTAAGATAGAATAACAAATGGAAAAATTATGATTTCAGTGATGCCTATCTGATAATAATATAGTATTAGTATGCAAGGAGCATGCTTCTTAGTTAAACCATGTGAATGGAAGGTGAATATATTTAGCTGCATATTCTGATTGTTATTTATTGCAGCTGCAAGATCTGTCAGAGACTTAGAGCATGAAATAGCACAGAATCTGACAACAATTATTGATAAAGAAACAGTTCTTAAAGTATTCCAAAGCAGAAAATTTCTAAAGGAATTATATAAGAAATAGCAATATGTAGAGTAGCCATCCATTTACTCATCTGATCTTCTATATGGGTGGCATAGATTGTATATGACTCTCAAACATATAAAATGCAATGGTTTGATTTAAACATTTTGATTATTCTGATCACAAGGCTATACTGCTTAATATGAGTTCTATTTAGATTGCATTGCATACACGTCCAACCTAAAATTAATGTGATGCACTGCTAATTTAAGGATGACATTTTCTTTATTTTTGTTGTTGACACCTATGTATTCTGCTTTGTTTTGCTTAGTATTGTCAGATCTGCTGTTATTTATGTTTCAGGAGGAAAGAAAAATTATTTATCTGCATCCTTGTAGCTTTTAGCACATCTTGAAATCTGGTAGTTGGCACAACTGATTTTAACATTGTACTGCACACATAGCTGCGTATAAATCCCATTCAGTTCAATGTGATTCATTTCTGAAGCACATTTATAAAACAGAACTGTATCTTAGGACTGGTTCTAACCTACAGAATTTGAGAGTTGCCTATTTTGCTTTCCTGAATTTTTGCCATTTTATTTTACATGTGGGTTTTAGATAATGCTGCAATAATAAAACAGTTACTTCTGCAGCCTTGTGATAAAAATTGGACAATCATCAGCTCAGTAATGATATTCATATTTTTTTCTCTCCTTCTAAATTGCAACATGATCTTGCTCATTTCAACTAATGAAAATAATAAAATGATTGACAGTTTTATTACAGCACAAACTCACTATCCTCCCAATCACAAAATTGGGGAAGCAGTCATAGTCCTGTGAAGTGCATGATTAAGATTATAGATAGATAATTAATATACTGGTTGGGTTGGACTTATTCGGGGTCTTCAATTCTATGAGCATCTTAAGAAATCAATATTAAGCATGTTCATACACATTTTAACAATCAAGTTTTAAGTAGTTTGTCACTTTATTTCTGGATCTGGAAAATAGTGGAAGAACATACAACAAAGAAGATTGGAAATGGTGTGGAAAGATGGAGAAACAAAGACAATAAACTTTACCTCTTAATAAAATAATATATTTCATGATTTTTTTTACTATTTTATGAGAATGTATATTTATTTACCTTCCAATATACTTGCTGACTTTTAAGCTAATTTTTTCCCTGCATAACTGGTGGAATAGCCAACATGTTTTGTAAGTAACAGATCCACAGTAGTATCTAATGGGATTTAGTAGTTAAAAACAAAAAGTAAATTTTGGCAGTTGTATCCACAGCTGTTAAACATATACAGTATGTTGGGGAGGGGTGGAAGTTAAGAGAAAACTTACTTTTGAAAGTCTTTTTGAACCATTAATCTCAAAATACAGCCATTAAGCTGTCCAATGAGAAGTAGGATTCAAGTAGAAAGAAAGGATTTTATTGTCCTCAGTTGCAAGTTTCTATATGAAGCAAAGACCTTCCTACATAGACAAATTTCAGCTGTTAGATTAAAATATCCAAAGCCTAAAAAAACTAGAGCCATCAAGGTAAAATTCTCAGGAAGCAGTATTTAACAGTATTTGATGGCTCAATATTTCTTTACCTTTATATCTGCTTATATCTTTCTCTGTTTGCTCAGACTTTTTACAGGTTACCAAGTATTTGTGTTGGTCTGAATATTCAGTCTTGTGTAACTTGATACAGTTAAATTATTTGCTCACATTTTTGAAGACAACTAAAATAACATTTTTTTTCTGTTGATACTTCAGTGTTCTTATAACATAGCTACAGCTACCAAGTGTCTGTATTTTAATAGCCCAAATTTAGCTTCACAAATTTAATCCTAATTAAAAAGATGCTTCTCATTGTAAATGTTATAGGAGATAATTCTCTTAATACAGTGGCCCCCAACCTTTTTTGTGCCACGGCCCGGTACTGGCATCACAAAATGATCCGTGGCCCGGTACCGGCATCAGCATGCATGACAAGGCAAGGTGAGCCGAGCGACCGGCCAGCCAGCCGTCCCCCGCTTCTCCCCACCACCTTTGTACCTTTGTCAATGGGCTTCACTTCGGGCCGGCTTCAGGACGGTCGCTTGGCTCACCTTGCCTTGGGTGCTGAAAGAATCCTCATGCCTTAGTTTCATTCGAAGCTCCCCCCCCTCAATGAAACTACGGCATGAGGATTCCTTCAGGACCCAAACGCCGCTTTCCAACCAGAAAAGCTCAGCCGGAAGCACTTTCTCGTCAAACAAGATGGCGGCACCCAGCAAACCGGCGGCCCGGTAGGAAATGTTCCACGGACCGGTACCAGTCCACGGCCCGGTGGTTGGGGACCCCTGTCTTAATACATTATAGTTGAAAATGACAGGTCTGGCAGCTACTTTTCAGACTAACAAATTTGATTAAAAGGCAGAAGCTTTCATGAACTATAGCTTACTTCATCAGATGTTATGTCTGTGTTTATTCATTGAGCTTTGCTCCCTTTCTAGAGTTGATTTCACAACCAAATTTGCTCCAAAATTCATAGAATTCATGATGTATTTTAAAATGTGATCATTTCCCCAAATATTAATGAAAACAATTGACTTGGTTTTATATGTTCAAAAAAGACCATTATATTCTACCAAGCCCTTTTCTAAGATTGTCCTTTTCATTTCAGAGTATAGTCTTAATGTTTGTTGGTTTCTCTTTCTTTTCCATGCTAGCATACATTTCAGCAGCTGTCATTTGAACTCTTTTGATGTTTTTTGTTTTGCTCTTACAGTAGTTTGCAAGTTTCACAGATTACTATAAATTGGATTCCTGTCAGGTAAATACCAATATATAGATTTGTTGCAGTTAAATTATTAAACATAGGAAACTATTTTTAATGTGTCTAGGTTTTACACATCATACTTGGTTAATTATGATTTATTAAATAAACCATAGCTGCATAACTGCTAAGCCACAAGCACAGGTTTCATTCAATGTATCACGCCAAGACCAAGCATACCATTAATATTTATTAAAGTAATATGGATTAATGTAAAGGTTTTACATTTGGAGGAGTTATAATTTGCCATTTAGTGGCTGTTGGGATTTGTGCTAGAGCTGTATTTGGTAACTCCAAATATTTATAAAAATATCCCTGACTGAAAAGTTACTCTTCTGTTTGATTAAAGGCTAAATAGAAAAAGTTTAGTAAAATACAATAGATAAATATAAATTGTGGACATAAAAATCCAAAGTATATTAGTAATATTTACAATACCTATATCTATTCTCTGCTTTTCTTTGATAATATTGAACATAAACATATTGAACGTTCCATTCAGATTTAATATGATTGTTCTCCAAATAAAACAAAAATATTCTTATATATAACCATTAAAGTAGATGAACATTGCTTTTGTTATGCTAATGACAGGATGCTTTAATATTTGTCATTAGGTAAAAATAATAGTTATTGTTTAAATAAGATATTTTGAGGATCCTACTTAAAATATTTAGCAACTTTCAAAAATATATCTTTGTTTATACATTTCAAGTTATTTGTGATAGTTACAATGAATACAATGGCATCTTTGTAGCATCTTTGAATTATTTGTAAAATTGCACTTTTAAAAATTGTTGATACATATTGAGAATTAATTAACCCAGGATATATCACACTATTCATCAAACTATTTGATTTTGAAAATTCCTACTGCTTAAATATTTACTAACCCTTTACACAAAAACCTAACAGAGCAGAGTTTTATGTTATGAACTTGCATCATATATCACTCGCTTTTGTGTTGGAAGCACCAAGGCGCTTCCAAGTTGAAAGAAACAGCTAATGATATCACCTTGTCCAGGGGACACTTGTTTGGGGGCTTCTTTCATGTCCTTGCCCACCAAAGTAGTACTATTTACTCACTGTCGGCCTCTTTCAAACTGCTGGGTCAATAGAAACTGGAGCAGGTGATGGGAGCACACTCCATGATGCAGCAGCAAACAGGTTTGAAATGTGAGCTTGCCAATTATCAGCCCTGCATCCTAACCATGTGAGACACCACATTCCTAGGGATAAAATAGACTGATAAGTAACTTCTATGTGATTGCTAAATTTAGAATTTTATTACCATATTATCTAGTTAGATAGACATTCAATTTGGCAATAAATGCTATGGCTTGACTTTGGCCTATGTGTTACATAGCTCTCTGAATCTCCAAGCCTTTGAAGATTTTGCTATTAAAATCTTGCAAAGCTTATTAAAAATTCATCAGATGTATGGCAATATTTCAGAGACTCTTACATTTTAAAAAATGCCATCGACAGACACTTACATATGTGCAAGGTAACACCTACCCTGCTGCCTATCAGGATCTGTGCCCAACTAGCTATTCTTTCCCCCCCCTAGCTTCTTTTAATTAAAAGTAAATAAATGGGTTGCTGAGCAAGTGAGAGCATTTATAGTAACAGTTTTCCTGAGAATGCTTCTTGATTCCACAGAGAGACAAGAATTTCTTAGAATAGTTACAGCCTAAGGCTTTGTTCTGAAATGTTTCCACCTACACAGAATTTAGAGATTGGAATAACTGTGAATCTGCTATGCATTATTTCAGATTCATCTGCCATATTCATGACACTGTTAACCACAAACTACCACAGCTACTATGATAGTTGCAGTCCAATATTGAGGGGAAAGGAGAAATAACATTGGAAAGTCTAGTTGGATTATTATGGCAACATTGAAATGTACAGTATACCTTTTAAAAATATACTTAAAGAACATTCTGAATGGCACTACTTTGTATCATTTAAATACTCCAACAGAAGCATAAATGAGTAAATTAATTTGCTTGCATTACAATCAAGATCCTCACTCATGCAAAACTTACTATTTGTGGTTGAAAATTCAGAAGTATAGAGCACTACTGAGGAGAACCAAGTTTATTGCAGTGTTTGATGGTTGTCTGCTCTACAAGAACCCTAAATGAATGTACATCTGAACCCATACATGCAACCCTGTACAATGCCATTACTACACTGGGACTGGATCAATTAGTAACTAACAACACTAGACTCAACAACCGCCTTGACCTTATCTTCTGCAACAGCTCAAACTCAATTTATGGCCTACACGTACAAGAACCCTTTTCAAACAGTAACCACAGTATGATTGATTTTTTGTCTCAATTTACGCTCTCACAAAGAAGATCATAATGATGGATCCCCAAAATACAATTTCAAAAAAGGCCAACTATGATCTCATAGATGCCAACCTATCATCTCTTGGTTGGCACATTCTGTTCTCTAACTGTAATACTAAAGAAGACCATTATAATGCATTCTTACTTGAACTTGAAAGAGTCATTAAACTATATGTCCCTTTAATAACCCCAAAAAACAAAAACAAAAACAAAAAACAAATTACCCATAACAATAAGGAAAGTTCAAAAAAAAATCTTTATGGTGTAAAAAAAAAACTAGCCACGAAGCAAACTTTAAAAACTGATACAATACCTTATACCGACAGATAAAGGCAGAATAGACAAATTACTACTGCAAGCAAGAGGAAAACTCCTACATACAAAATCTACCCACCCTTCTATAATTTTGTCAACACCAAACTTAAACATTCAAGAACCATCCCACCCCTAAAAGGACCAAATGGGAAAGATTGCAGTGATGAAGCCATTAAGGTCAACCTCTTCAACACATTCTTCAGTTCAGTCTTTGTAAACAGCAATGGCTCATGCCCCACATTTCCTAGTCGTACCACAACTAACTGTAATGGTCTACTACGAATTGACTTTACAGAAGATAATGTAGAAAAGGTACTACGAAACCTAAAATCACCCCTATTCTATTGGCTCCGATGGATTATGTGCATACTTCTTTAAAAAGCTCTCCTCTGCCATAGCAGAACCCCTAAACATTATATATGAAATATACAGAACCAGCTCCTTACCGAACCTATGGTCCTTAGCTACAGTCATCCTATCTTCAAAAAAGGTGACCCCAGTCTGGTTGAAAACTATAGACCAATCTCACTGTGTTGTGTCACATGCAAAATCATGGAATTAACCAATTCATAATCCTCCACTTAGTGCCAAACAAACTACTTTTCAAAAACCAATTTGGTTTCAGGAAAAAATTGTCCTGCAATCTACAACTCCTACACTGCAAAAACATATGGACTACTCTACTTGACCAGAGTAAAGCAATAGATGCTGTTTATATAGACTTCTGCAAAGCCTTTGATTCAGTGGTACATGACAAACTACTGTTAAAACTAAACGCTTACGGCAATTCCGGAACCCTTAATAAGATTACTGCATTCCTGTCAAACAGGCAACAAATAATAAAAATAGGGACTGCTATATCAAACCCTGCTCCAGTTAACAGCAGTGTCCCCCAAGGCAGCATTCTAGGACCCACACTCTTCATACTCTATATAAATGACCTTTACAATCACCTTATAAGCAACTATGTCCTCTTTGCGGATGATATAAAACTATTCAACACCACCGACAATATTACTGTTCTTCAAAGTGACCTTGATTATGTGTCTGAATGGTCGAACAATTGGCAACTCCAAATCTTGACCAACAAATGCTCTGTCCTAGATATTGGTAAAAAAAAATCAATACATCAAATATAAGCTAGGTGGATATGACCTCGTTGACGACCCTCACTCTGTCAAGGTACTCATATCTAATCACCTAAGCACCAGAGTTCACTGCAACAGCATTGCCAAAAAGGCATTAAGAGTTGTAAATCTAATCTTACGAAGCTTCTCCTCCGGAAATATAGAATTGCTAACTAGAACATACAAAACCTTTGTTAGACTAATACTCGAATACAGCTCTTCTGTCTGGAATCCACATTGTATATCGGACATTAATACAATTAAACGAGTCCAGAAGTATTTCATAAGAAGAGTACTACACTCCTCTGCTCGCAACAGAATACCCTATATAACCAGGCTTGAAATTTTGGACTTGGACAACCTTGAACTATGCCGCCTATGGTTGGACTTATCCGTAGTACACAAAATTATCTGCTGCAATGTCCTACAAATCAATGACTGCATCAGCTTCAACCACAATGAAATAAGAGTATCCAACAGATATAAACTCAATGTTAGCTGCTTCAAACTTAATTGCAGAAAGTATGAGTGCAGAAAGTATCAGCAACAGAGTGGTCAGTGCCTGGAATGAACTACCTGACTCTGTTATATCCTCTAACCCCCACTCCTTTAACCTTAAAGTATCTATTGACCTCTCCCCATTCCTAAGAGGTCTGTAAGGGGTGTGCATAAGTGCACAATCATGCCTACTGTCTCTGTCCTATTGTCCCCATTTATTCATACCTATTTCCTGTATTCTTCCTCATGTTTATACTTATACCTATTATCTTGTAAGCGATTGACAAATCAAATAATTAAATAAATAAAAATAAGGAGGAGGATAATTGAACAATGGAAAAGCAAATTTTTTTATAGATCTATAAGATGGGAAATTCTAGACCTAGACACCTGATTTACTGGTGACTTTTGGAAGTTGGAAAAGTCCTTGTTATTGTAACTGAGGTTATTTCTATTTTTAGGCAAAGTAGCCCTTTTGAGAGGTCAGCACAGCTGGTGAACTCCAGAAAATTTTACTCTGAGGTAATGAGCTTTATGGAGGATGGAAGATTAGTGTTGTAGATTGATCAATGAGAGGCTAGACCAGGGCATGGATGCAACAAGACTTTATTAAAGTAATAAAGGACTGAACGTGTTAGTCCTGCCTGGAGCAGGCTCACAGCGAACAGCGGCTGACCGAACCCTGCAGCTGGCTTTTATAGCCGGCTGTCGAGGGAAGCCAGCCAATGAGGGGCAGCAAACGCCCCTGCAGCATGAACGGACCTGGGTGGGGACTTTGGCAAGTTCCAGGGACATAACACCCCTTCCCCCCAGATGCGAACACGCGTAGTCATTTAAATAAGCGGGTGGTCTGTGCTGGCGCCCCGAGCGTCGTAACTCCGGTGAGTTACCAAGTGTCTCAGAGTTCAAGGAAACAGGTAGGGTTGGTGATGGGGTGCAACCTCGCTCGGAGGTCTGCGCTGGTATCGGTGAAGTGCTTCTGGCCGGTGATGTCGTGGCTCCATCAGATGGTTCAGGCGGAGGACCCATCGGGCAGTCCCGGTCTACTGCCTGCTCCCTCGGCTCGGGTGATGGTGGCGAAGAGCCTCTGGAACGGTCTACGATGAGGGTTTGGTGAGGCACCTGGGGGCTGACCTGTGCCCACGATCCGGCACTGGCGAGGGTACCCTGTCGCTTCCTTAGCTGGTCCAGGTGCCTTCTCCAGATGCGGCCGTCTTCCAGCTGGACTTGGTACGACCTGGGACCGGTGATGGCTACTATCACTCCTGGAATCCAAAGTGGGTCTCCGGCATAGTTCCTTGCAAAGACATGTTCCTGCAAGACAAAATCTCTGACCCCCGTTATTGAAGCAAGAGGGGTGTCAGGGCAATAGTGAGGGTGGAGCCTATCCAACACAGTTCTTAGGCGTCTACCCATCAGAAGTTCAGCTGGTGATTTGTTGGTGACCATGCAAGGGGTTGAGTGTTGGCTTAGTAAGAAGCGGGAGAGTCTGTGATGCCAGTCTTCTTTGCTGAATCTGGCTAATGCTTCTTTTGTGGATCTAACGGCTCTCTCCGCCAATCCGTTGCTGGCAGGATGAAAGGGGGCCGTGAAGATGTGTCGGATGCCAAGATTGGTGGCAAAACGGCTAAATTCTGTTGAGGCAAACTGGGGGCCATTGTCCGAAACTAAGGTATCTGGTAGCCCGTGTGTTACGAATAGGCGGGTCAAGGCCTTGGTAACCGCTTGCGTGGTGGTCGTGGATAGTTGGGCCACATCGATCCATTTAGAGTATGAATCTACGACCACCAAGAAGGTTTTGCCGTGTATTGGACTCGCTAAGTCAATGTGAAGCCTTGACCAAGGCGCGTTGGTGCTCTCCCACTTTGTGGGGGTGGTGACTGGAGGGGATGGTCTGGATTCCTGACAGGGTTGGCAAGAGCTTACCCACTTGACGATGTCGTCATCCAAGCCAGGCCACCAGACGTAACTCCGAGCCAACGCCTTCATCCGGACGATGCCCGGGTGGCCCTCGTGTAGTGCCTCTAAGACTGGTGTGCGAAGCGAGGCCGGAATGACAACTCGGGTGCCCCACAACAGGCAGCCCTGTAAGCTAGATAGTTCCTGTTGACGGGTCTTAAAAGGTGTGAATTCGGCTGCGAGGTTAGAGCCCAGCCACCCCCTCCTCACCCAGTCCAGTACCTGGGCGATTGTTTTGTCCGTCTTGGATTTGGTGGCGATGTCGAGGGCGGTGACAGGAAGGTCGAGCTCGGTGACATCGAAGATGGCATGGACCGGGGCCGGGTCCTCAGCTGGAGCTGGCAGGGGGCAGCGGCTGAGGGCGTCTGCGTGACTTAACGTTTTTCCTGGGCGGTGGATGAGCTTGTACGAGTATGCCGCCAGGAACAAGGTCCACCTCGTCATTCTGGGAGACAACACTTGGGGAGTCTGCTTGTCTCCGGATAGAAGACCCAGGAGAGGCTTGTGGTCCGTGATTAGTTTGAAGTTGTGGCCAAAAAGGAATTCATGAAATTTCTTTACCGCTGCCACTGCGGCTAAAGCCTCCTTGTCAATTTGACTATAGTTACGCTCTGTTGCTGAGAGCGTTCTGGAAAAGAAAGCGATTGGTGCCTCGGAGCCGTTGGGTAGTCTGTGGCTTAATACAGCTCCAATCCCAAAAGGGGATGCATCCGCTGCTAGTACTAATGGGAGATGTGGGTCAAATTGAATAAGGACCGCGTCAGATGTGAGCAGTGATTTGACTGCGCGAAAAGCGGTGTCTTCCTTGTGTCCCCAGTGCCAAGGTGATTTTTTTATCTAAGAGCCTGTGTAAAGGCTCTGCTACTGATGCTTTGTGAGGTAGGAATGACGCATAGAAGTTCAATAATCCCAAAAAGGCTTGTAGCTCGGCTTTAGTGGTTGGTGTGGGTGCCTCATGGATTGCCTTGACTTTGGATTCTAGGGGGTGAATGCCTGAGGCGTCAATTCTATAGCCCAGAAAGTCCACCTGTCTAGTGGCAATGGCACATTTCTCCTTTTTTAATTTGAGGCCATGCTGTCTGAACCTGTCTAACACTGCTCTGACTCTCTGGAAGAGTTGGGGCTTGTCCCTGGCCGAGACCAATATGTCGTCGAAGTAGGGTACTACGCCAGGGAGGCCCTGAAGTATACGCTCCATGAGGGATTGGAAGATGCCGGGGGCAACACTTACGCCAAACTGGAGACGCCTGCACTGGAAGGCACCCCTGTGGGTCACAATAGTTTGTAATTCGGCTGTTTGGTTGTCAACAGGGAACTGTTGATACGCTTGTGACATGTCCAATTTGGCAAAAATGTTGCCAGGCTCAAAAGTGTGCAATAAATGTTGAATGACCGGGACTGGGTAAGCGCTAACTTGTAGAAAGCGGTTAATTGTTGTTTTGTAATCCGAACAAATTCTCAGACTGCCGTCCTTTTTAAGGGGTGTGACAATTGGCGTCTCCCATTTGGCGAAGTCTGTCAGCTCAATGACCCCTTGCTTTAATAATTTATCCAGTTCCGCGTCCACTTTAGGCCGAATGGCGAATGGGACTCTACGAGGTTTCAGCCGGACTGGAACTGCTTGGGGGTCAACTGCAAATGAGATGGGGGTACCGTTATAACACCCCAACTCATCGCTGAATACGTCTGAGTAGTCAGTGAATAAGGAGTCAGTGTCAGAAGCTGAGACAGCATGGACTCCTGTTAACCCTAGGCCGAGGTAGGGGAACCAATCAAGCCCCAAGAGACTGGGGAGGTTGCCGTTAACTACCACTAGAGGCAGGTGGCCTTTGAAAGCTTTAAAATTAACAAGGAACTTGCCTTTGCCGAGTACTGGAATGTCCTTCCCTTGATAGTCCCTCAAGGTGAGCTGGCACTTCTGGAGCTGGTTTCTGGATAGTCTGGGCTGGATTTTCTTGAGAGTGCTCCAAGAGATGATTGAGAGCGCTGACCCCATGTCAACCTCCATACGACAAGGTTTACCTTCTAATAAAATGGAGAGTGTGATTTTACTAATAGAATGACAGGTGTGGTTAGCATGGTAGCAAGTGTGACAATTTAGTACTTGCCTTTGGGGTCCAGAATGGGAAAAGGAAGGAACCTTTTGTGCTGAGTTGTGTGCGGCCTGGCAGACTCTGGCGATGTGGCCTTTTTTGTGGCAATAGTTGCAGGTGGCACCCTTGAATTTGCACGAAGCTCTCGAGTGAGGTCCGCCACAGGATAGGCACAGGATGATGTGTTTGGGTGCACTGTTGCTTTCTTGCCTGGTTCCTACCTGTGGTTGTTTGGCATGAACGAGGCAGTGGATGTCTGTTTGATCGTTGAGATCATCTTCGTTGATCACCTCTTCTGAGTGGATGGAGGCACAGCTTTGTTTGGGAACGGGACCTTGAATCTCGGTGGCTGACTGGGTTGCCAGTTCTGCAGCCAAGGCTTCCTCGACGGCTTGGGAGAGGTTGAGGTCCTTCCTGGCGAGCAGTCGCCTTTGGAGGTGAAGGTCCTTGACCCCGCAGACGAGCTGGTCGAGGAGCATGTCATCTAAGTAGTTCCCGAACCCGCAGTGGAGAGCTGCAGTCCTCAAGGTGGCCATATACTGGTTGACGGTTTCCTTTTCAGCTTGCTTCCTCATCCGGAAGGTGAAACGCCTCGCGATCTGTGAGGGCCTGGGGGAGTAATGATTGGTGAGGATCTCCAGCAATTCTGCCCAGGGAACATTCTTTAACTCACGTGGAGCAACGAGTGCTGTGGTGGTATCAAAAACGATGGCTCCGCAATAACTGAGGAAGAATGACTTCTTTCTGTGCTCCCCAGCATTAGCCAGACCAATGGCATCGATGTAGTGGTTAAAACAATTTTTGTATGACTCCCACTTTTCTTCATCAGGCTTGAACGGTGGGAAGGCTGGGTTGGAGTTCATGTTGTGAACTTCTGCAGGTTACACCGCTGTGAGGTCTCTCTGGGACGACAAATGGCCCTTTGTGCTCTTGTCAGGCTAGTGACTTCAGCTCTTGAGAGGTTCCACAGAATCTCTCTGTTCTCTCTGGGTTATGCTATGGCTCAGGCTGCAACGGTCGTTGGCAGCGTTATTTGAATTTCGCGCTCCTGGAGAGCGTAGGCGGTAATGGCTGACCGCAGCTGACAGTGATTTGAATCTCGCGCCCTGTGCTGGTGTCAGAGACTTCCCGGAATGACAGCACCACGCTGTACTCCGACTCGAATTCAAACGACAGCCGTTTGAATTTCGCGCCCTTTTGAGCTGAGCGGCTGCGGCTCGCAGCGCTTCACTTTCCCTGTAGCTTGCTAACCGAGCGGCTACAGACGCTGTTCCTTTCGCTTTTTGCTGACTGAGCTCTCCGGCGGCGCGGCTGCGGCTCAGCAATTGAGTGACTTCAGCTGTTGCGGAATGCCTCTGGTAGCCATCCCATCCTCGTCGCCAGTGTTGTAGATTGAGCAATGAGAGGCTAGACCAGGGCATGGATGCAACAAGACTTTATTAAAGTAATAAAGGACTGAACGTGTTAGTCCTGCCTGGAGCAGGCTCACAGCGAACAGCGGCTGACCGAACCCTGCAGCTGGCTTTTATAGCCGGCTGTCGAGGGAAGCCAGCCAATGAGGGGCAGCAAACGCCCCCGCAGCATGAACGGACCTGGGTGGGGACTTTGGCAAGTTCCAGGGACATAACAATTAGGTTTTTCAACTCCTTGCTATAATACAATACAGGTAATCTGTCCATCTGTCTGTCTGTCTATTCTGTCTAGCTAGCCATTAGGCTATTCAATAGATTCCAAACTCAACCAAGTGACTCTGGATGGCAGGATCTATTCTTGGTTAAATGGCGTTTTAGGGGTCTTTGTCTGGAATGATCAATTTGGGGCTGATAGCATTAGGCAAAGAAAGGAACTGGGTTTGGTCACTTTTAAACTCAAGGAAGAAAAGGGTGCAAACTTCATTTAGCTAAATTTATTTTTACTTGCTGAATCATAGTTAAATAAATGTCTGAATCAGGTAAGAAAAATAAATTAATGTCTAGTTTGTAATTTCAACAAATGATTATCTAAAAATGATATTGCACTGAAATTAACCCTAATTGTCCATACACTTGTGACTACTACTATACTCTCATATTTTCTTTGGGAATATGTAGTGTCTGTCATTGTATAATTCTTCATCAGCGCTAGATATTTTCAGCATCACCAAATAATTATTCATTTTTATAGGTCACAGAATCCATTAGCCTCTTAGAACCTAAGTATCAGAGAATTGTACTGATCTCTCTTTTTCTGTCCTCTCGGCATCAAGCTGCATTTTACAAATGCTGTATTTCAATATCTAGTTTTATTTTCTTATTTCTCATTAACATTTCTCATGCCAATATATGACCATCTGCCCTTTCTATCTTTTCAGTTTTACTCTACACCACTTTCACTCATATTGTTTGTTTTTATACTACCCCAATCCTTGCTAATATGGGCAATCAATTTTAATTCCTCTCTCAGAGCTACGGAATCATATTGTTCATTTATTTGATATAAGCTAGAAACCAGGATACTGTGAATTCTAGTCCAACCTTTGGCCCAAAGCCATCTAAGTAACCTTGGGCTAATCACAGGTACATTATTGTAGATGCAGAGCATATACCTTTTGCAGTGGTCATCTTGTTTTTGCCTTATTTTCCAATTATAACAGCAACCTAAACCAAGGGTTTTTATATATTTTCAAGCTGTGAAAACTACTAGAAAAAAACCCACCACTGTAGTCAAGGGCAAAGGGATGGATCAATGGAGCATAAATGATTCTTGAAAGGCTGTGCTTCTAAATGTCAGCAGTGAATCCCATCCTTTCCATTATATCATAAGAAAATTGAAAATCCTTCTGGCTGGATTTGATTTTTTTTTTTCACCCTCCACCTCTCATGGAAACCAGTGAACATCTTGGAGAACCCCAGACTTCGGGGAACACAAATTCAAAAACCTGCATTGATATCTACAATTTTGAGGGGATGTCCTGCTCTCCATATTGTAGATAGGCATACAGGTAGATCTTCTCTGACTTGGTATCTACTTTCTAGAATATCTTACTTTCTTACTCGGGCCCTAGTGATCTTTAAAGATCTTCCTTTTTCTCTTGCTCTTTTGCAATCAAACTCTTTTTTTGATATATTGGCTTAGACTTGCAATATTCGTTTTGAACATTTTTGGTATTCATTGGAATTCATAGGGATCAAATATTTTATACACTACATCCCTACTGAGTATCACAAAATGAAGTTGCTTTCTGTATATGATAATGGTATAAAGTAATCTAATTATGAAAATAAATGATACTTAAGCAAGTGTCAGGTAGACTCCAATGTACAGGACTTAGGATTTTATGTAAGATAACCTATGGATTCATCTTGTTTGGGGGTTGCATGTCTTAGACTTGAGCATGGAAATAATAAATTATGGCAGTATCTTATACTGTGGAAGCTGTGTGAATCTACCAACACAGTATTTTTTTTAAAAAAAAAATAGAATATGCTAAAAATAAGCAAGCAAAGTCTGATAACTATACTGCAGGTGTACGCAGTCATCTTTCCATACTTTCCATATTGCTGATTAATAATATGAGAAAGACCCTTAAGTTAAAAAGGAAATATCCTAATTACTTCTTCTTTTTTAATAAAGTAAGGTAGTGTCTAATTCTTGTTTGTTCTTATTTCACATGTTGACTCAGATGAGATAAATGGAATGAGAATTTTTCGAATATCATCCTATTTGGATATATATTATAGGTAACCAATGTACGATTCCTTTGAAACTTGGCAAATCATTTATTTATTTATCTATCTATCTATCTATCTATCTATCTATCTATCTATCTATCTATCTATACATACATCTATACATCTGTTTATTTATTTATTTATTTTGTCAAGCGATTATAAGATAACAGGTATAAGTATAAACATAGTTATGAATACATGAAATGGATACATAAAAGAAAAATAAAACAAAAAAAATTAAAAGAAACAATCGGATAGCGACAGTAGGCACATTGGTATGCTTATGCATGCCCCCTACAGACCTCTTAGGAAAGGTGTGAGGTCAATAGTAGACAGTCTAAGGTTAAAGTTTTTGGGGTTTGGGGAAGAAACCACAGAGTCAGGTAGAGTATTCCAGACATTGACCACTGTGTTGCTGAAGTCGTATTTCCTGCAATCAAGTTTGATGCGGTTTACCTTGAGTTTGTATCTATTGTGTGCTCTTGTATTGTTATGGCTGAAGCTGAAGTATTCATTGACAGGTAGTACATTGCAATGTATAATTTTATATACTATACTTAGATACTATACTACAATCTAAGTATATACTATACTTAGATTGAAGGCATCTCATCTATAAGGATAATTTATAGAAAATAAGAGCTGTCTTTGCCACTCTTTTAAGCCACTAGACTTATTTGGACATTAATAAGAAAACTTTTAACCCTGAATCACATTAAAAATTGGCATTATAGAATAACCCCAATTTGAAGACAGCAGGGAAGCCTTATTAGAAGTCAGGCTAAGCAAGGGATTAATACTTTCAATCAACTGATTATAAAGGTTATTTTTTAATTATTTTGGGAGGCTGTGTGTTTTGAATATAACTTACCAGAATGATCTGCGTGAGAGAATTTACCACCAAAACATGCATTAATAAAATAATACTGGTAATATAAGTAATAGATGAAGTGAGGGAGTGGAATATTCAGTTTTGAAAAAGCATTTAAGTTTTAAGAAATGTGGAATGTACTTCTTAAGATCCTGGGATCAAATAAATCATCCAAAAATATTGTTCCATGCTTATTGGACTCATCAAAGAATATTTAAGAATAGTTTAACTCTATACTAATCATATTACTTGTCTTGGATTGCAAGACATTTAAAAGCTGATTGACTCAAAATATTTGTCATATGCATCCATGGCTGTTTTTTGACTTCAGGGTACTGCATATGTTAACATAACTCTGGACAAAACTATAGCAGTGAA